TGCTTCAAATAGAAAACATGTAAATTAATGACTGGATATTCATATAGATTCCATTTTAGTTTTCGTGGTTGTTTTTATGACCCATGAGTCAAGGAAAAACAGGAAGAAAGATTCAACGTAAAGTGGAACTGGTTTAAGAAAAATAATCTTATTAACTAGTGATTGAAAATGGAATCAGTGATGAAAATAGAAAATTAAATAGAGTATTGACTCTAATAGAAGGATAAATAAATATTTTTTCTTGCAATGAAAGGTAACTTTGGTTGCAAACCAACTTACGTCTTGGTCCAAGAAATGTAAACACATCTTGTGGGAAATTTACATTAGATGTTTTAATGACTTTGCAAAATGGCTCACAGACTCATGAATGTAAGGCACATATTTACAACCTGTCTATTCCAAAACAGGATAATAAAAAAACAAAATGAAACATATACTTGCAAGCTGCTTTGACAAAGCTGCTTAACAAATCTACTGATTCTAATGAGACACTGACCTCTGATATAACCACATGATAGCTTAAGAAAAAGAACTATGGAGAAGCTAAATCTTATGCCTCATTCACAGAGAATTGGTGGCCAGAGCCTATTTGAAAAAGATACTTTATTTTCTTTTGGCTTGGATTGCAGACGTAAAGTCCAATTGTCTGAATTCGGGGGTCACACCACACCTTCACCTCAGTCTGTTACCTTTGACCCTATCCTTTTCAGCTGATGGATCAAAAGACCAGCAGGCCTAGACATGACTAATTCTGGGTCTTAACATGTGCTTTGCAAAAGCACAGAACTGCAGAATTTACAACAACTTGGCACAATATTCTTTTAATTCACAAACATAACTTCAGAAGCTGAGAAATAAAAAGTCATTATAGGCGCTTTTTGGTTTTACAGGTAACCCTTTCTTAATCAAGCCTTAGGTCAAAATTAGTTCACATTTGTGGTCAGCCCTGAAGGTGGATACTATTGAAGTACCTGCCAGGATGATGGTACACAAACAGACTGCAAACAAACTGGTCTACCTTGTTGGTTTTAAAGCTTTTTGTCTGTACTTCTTCTTTAAAACCTTTGAATAACTCTTATTCTATGAAGAGGGAAAGCATGTGGTACTTGGTGAAGGCTTGAGTCCAGACTGTTAGAAAATAAGGCATATTTCCAAGGCTCTGTGTTTTTAGTGCTGTTATCTCATCCCAGTTGGTCTCTGTTTGTGTGTGTGCATGGGGGGAAAAAGAGTGAGAAAGAGCAGAGAAGCCCTGGAGAGAGATGGCTTACCTCCTACAGAACACCTCCCAGGGTCACAGCAGGAGGGAGATTAAGTTACAGCCGACCTCAGAGGAGGTCGCACAAAATGTGTACACATACTCATTCTCTCACCCTCTAAAAGCCTTACCGAAAGCAAAATATTACACAACACAATTTCATGCCCTGTAACATAATCGCATTAAACTGCACAGTTCTATTTTGTGATGCTGCAGGTTGGATCTGAATTCAGTGCTATCGGACGAAGCAGACTGAAGTGAAACCCAATCCCCCCTGTACAGATCTCAGATCAAGCTAAGGATCAGACTGTCAGAGCAGGGTCAGCTATAATTCGAGTCAACGGAGCCTCAGTAAACAGAGGTGTTGAAACACGCAGCCCTCCTTTGACCTGACGCCCTCCTTCGCAACCTCACTCCTTAACCGTCCCACCTTTCCAAAGCAGGGGACTGAGACGGACACTTTGTCTCAGGTGTGGAAGATTCACACAGGAGAATGGGCGATAGGGTTCTTAGAAAGGACACACTCTCTCTCTTTGAGGAATCTTCCCCCTTTGCTTCCTCCTCACCCTCATATATCCTTTCTATGGCCCCCACGGTCATCCTGGCTCCCACCCGCTCAGCTGCTGTAGTCAGTGTTTACTCTGCTAGAGAGAGAAGAGAGGGCCCAGAGAGGGACAATGCCGCCTTTCAGAGCCGCTGTCGACTACACGGCTGAGCGAGGAAGTCTGCAAAGGGGCCAGCCAACACCCCTTCCCCAAACTTCACAGCCACCCGCCACGGAGCTTTATACACACACTCACATATCACACGCACAGAACGTCATCCTCATCCCCTCCCAGCATCGGTCTTTCTCTCTGTTGCCCCGTCTTTAAAAATGTTTTTTTTTATTCCAGTCTCATATTTCCCACAAGCCCCTTCTCAGTGAATGTGGCTGTTTGGAAGATGTTGTCGAGATCCCGTAACTCCAGTCCAAGATCCACACATAGTGAGTCACTTCCCAGCCAGTCTCTGCTATTTTTCCATCAAGAAATAATCATGAGGCTTGGAACCGACTTGAAATCCAGAAGTGGGAATTGATTCATGTGGACTTTTCCTGGTCCATTCCGCTGGGAATGGCGAATGATTTTAAGCTACATTATATACAGTTAAGATGTTGCACATATTACTAGTTCGAACTGATATTTAAATTAGTATATCAAACAGCAAACTGGAAAATACCATACAGTGTACCTTGTTTGGATTCTTTTTCTTGGCTCACTGTATCAACAGATACTGTACGTAAAGTAAAAAAAAAAATCACTTGCATAATAAGATATACAAATCCGATTTGTATTCTAGAGTGTAGAGGTTTATATTTTCTTTCCATGCCAAATAGCATGAATTATAATACTGATATGAGTCCAGCTTTTAATTGTCCTACTAGTGGATAGGAGCAGGATTTGTTAAGAGGTTAAGCCGATTCCTGGTCTACACATTGGGGTACAGGCTTTTGATAATTTGAAATGAACAGCAGATCTTTTAGTGCTGTTTTTGCCAAACACTATAGCCAAATTCCTTTGCATGTGTGTTACAATCAGTCCTCAGCCAGCACAGAGGAAAGGAAATTCAGATGCTGCTTCTAAGGAGGATCCTATTCATTCCCATGCATGTAAACAAGCTCACTTGAAAATTTAACATTACATATTCAATTCACATAACCTATTCAATAATCATCTTTATTGTTCGATCAAATCTTTATTGCTACAGGATCAAGCTGCCTTTAATTAATTAAATGGTCCAAATTAATAAATATCAGGTATCTTGGTAAAAAAAAAGCATGGCCTGGTTATGTGAAAGTGAATACTTGTAGAGGATCAAACATTGGTGCAAAACCCTTTTTCACTGACAAAGAATCCTTGCTGCTACTGTCTTGTATTACACCCCAACAAACCCCTGACCTGCAAGAGCATAGGTGTTATATGACACAATCAAAGGAGAGGCTCACACATATCATACTTCTGAAGGACTGATTTTGGCTGCTTCATTGTTTTTATCACTTATCTCTGTGAAATGTCACTCTCAAAAGAAAAATCTGTGCATGTGTGCATCTCTTCTGTCCACACAGAGATTTTATGTCAAGGAAACTAAACCACCACCCTGTTGGTCATGTGGTCAGCGCTCTACAATCATAATAAAACCTAAAACCTTTCCTTTTTTTGCATGTGACAAACTGGAGTGGCTATATTTTCATCTCCAAGAGATTTCAGCGATAACGGCATAATGCTGCTCTCTGTGCATATATGGCATGATCCTCTGTTTGCATCAGTACGCGTGCGCATCATCATCCTTTTATCTCTGGCTGATTGAGTCTCCACGTCTCCTCCCACCCTCCCGGCTGTCTGTATAGATGCGTGTATGAGAGCTCATGGCCATCCCTTGTTGAGATAGTGAACCTGGTGACCTCCCTGCTCCATGCCTCCCAGACACAAGGCCTTCTCATGTGGCTGCCAGCCAGTTGCTCTCAAAGCCCACTATTCACTATTAACTGTGGCTTCTATGAGTGTGTCAGCATTTTTTTTTAAAGGGAAGGACAGATCAATTTGTGAAATTACAGTTTGATAAATTACTTTTGTGTGTCCATGCTCATGCGTGTATTCTGAGAGTATTTGTGCTTGTGTTTATTGTGTATTACATGTCCGTTTAGAATAGGAATTCAGGACGCTCTGCTTAGTGTGTGGCATAGCTGGAAAGTGTTCATGAGTGCCTGGTGAGCACAAGCAGTGAACCCTAAACCATTGTGCTCGATGGAGAGCTTGGCTTCATCTCAGCAGTACTGTATTGGCTTCATTTGGATGTGTGAAGCAATAAATCTTAGATTAAAAAAAGTGAATTTACCATTTTTTTGCATTTATATTTAAAGACAATAATCAAAGTCCAAAAGTGAATTGAATTATGATTAGGATTTATACTAATACATTTGAAATGTCTTCTTCTAATGGGGTTCACCTAAGTTCTAAGTGGCTGAGGAAGACTGCAATTGGACCTCAGACTGACAGCTACATGAAGCATCCTGCCTGCAGCCCTCAGGCTGGGTCCAGAGGTCAGTGTGTTAAGATGAGGAGGAGGTGCATGGATTGGGTACAGCTGGACTTGGAGGCCTGCGGGGTTGCTGATGGGTCTCAAAGGTCCACTGGGTCTGAAGGCGCACGCTGTGGGGGATGGGGATGGACCGTGGTGGGGAGCCGATGCGACAGGGTGCAAAGGCCAGAGACTGGCTGAGGGGTGGGGTGAGGCGGGCCAGGCCAGGCAGTGAGGCGACCATCTGGACTGGATTGTAGAAATTCCTCAGGAAGAGCGAGTAAAGGTCAGGATGGAAAAAGAGAAGGGGGTCACTGCGCTCTCACCGTATGTTTGTGTGTGTTTATTATTCTTTTCCTTACTTAGTGTCTCTGCTTGATTGTGCTCAGTTTTCCATTGTTGGAGAGGGCTTTATGCACTGAGAACAACACTCATTTGGAAAAAATTTTAACCTTGGACAGGTTGCCATTTTATTAAGGAAAATGGTTTTCAAAATGCGTGATGCACTATTCTAAAGTATTCATCTAGACGTGCAATCGCTTTAGATTTCAAGGAAAATTTGAAACTTTTTATGTTCTTACATCTTAAACCTTTCTGAAGCTTTTTTTTGCTATAGTATTTTTACCCTAAACCTTCTTTTTATTGTATGAACATAGATTAATACTTCCAGCTTGTTTTGGTTCTGCAGTTGGGAGGTCAGCGGGTTGCAGTCATGCTGTCCCTGGACGAGCCCCTGGACCTGAAACTCCCCCGGCGGGCCAATGGGAAGGACAGAGGAGCGCGCTCGCCCGCCCACTCACCGCTGAACCCCAAGCAAGTCCGGCAGCTCCATATGGCAGACGATGGGACAGCAGTAATAGAGCCCGCCTCACCAGCATCTCCACACTCAGGTCATTCACAATAAACTAATAAAGCTGTTCCACTAGCCTCAACTCTAATAAAAAATCTAATCTGAGCTGAGGTGCATATCTATGAATGAGTACATTTGAGATTTATTGCAACAGGTGTGTTGCTTTTTTCCCCAGGTGTGCAGGTGGTCCCTCATGATCGAACAGACACACCAACACCCCCTGCTGTAGACCTGAGCATGTCTCCCTCCTCCCGCCACACACCAAGCTCTCCAGAATTGACTAATGGCAACTATATCCCCTCAGGGGTGAGTATAACACACACAAAGGTCACACACTGAAAAACGCACACAACCCTGCAGATGTTTCACTGTGGCTCTATAAAGCTTGCATTTAGCCAGTGATATATCTAATTTCCCCCCATTTTTTCCTATCACCTTTAACATTTTTAGGGGAGTAAACACTTTCTCTGGGTGCAGTAGTGAATAGGTTCACATTATTGTCCGATGGCAGAAAGTGATTCAGCTCGCTGGGGTCAGCAAATCAGGAGCAACGTTGGGTTGTGTCACACTCACATAAGGGAATCGGGTTATGCAAGGGGTGGGAGGCCTCTGTGTGTGTGTGTGTTAAAGGGGAATAGCTCTTATCAAACACATCTTGTGTCCCCAACAAATGCTTCTGTCTGTGGAACTTGCACCCAGTGGCCCCGCTGGCATGATGCGTATGTCCCCGTGTATTCATTGTGTGTGTATACGTGAATGTGTGTCCATGTATAATCGGATTTAAGACGAACTACAGCCATGCAGACCTCATGCCGTCTAATTCAATTCCCATGCAATTGAATTGAGACATTATGGCTGGGGCCATTCATCCTTCCTGTGCTCCAGTGTGTTTTATATAGCCCCCGCCTGAGCTTTCTGCTACATACTTATGCCATGTGGACATGGACATGGATAGGATACCAATCACTCTCGCTTATTCTGTCCATCTCTCACACTTTTCATACTCAACATACTCATGTTTCTCCGCATACATCAGGGCATTTGTCTCGTTTTATGATAGTCATTACATAAATACTGTACTATTAAAAGTTCATACACATTTTTCTTTATATTTTGAAGTGGATGTGTACAAACTTTTGGGGGTTCTGGTATAACTACGGCCTTTTTCGCTGTTGTCTTGTCCCCTATAGCTTAAAATAAAATATATAAATACAGTTCATTTGAAATTCCTCAATTGTCCTGCTGGAATAAAGTTTAACTGTGTGTGTGTCTGTGTGGGTGGGTCAGTGCATTAGCTCTTTCCGCCATAGCGGAGGTTCAATGAATCTTACAGCTCTCTGAGCTCAGGGGTGCAGGAAGGTTTTGTAATGCTCAGCGGATTACAACGAGAAGAAATATGGAGTGGACTTTTTAAAAGCGAATCAGCATTTCTGTACACCACTGAAAAGTTCAGACCATCAGCAGATGATCTTCAAGTATGCTAGTGCTGAATTAGAATACTTTTCCCCCCTACTAATTCAAACTAGTTTAATTGTATTTTTTAGGAGAACCGATAATTGGTGTTTATTTTTCAAGGAATTGTAAGGGGATGACGCACATCTTGTTTGTTAATGAAAATTCTCATCTCTCACAGGCGTTTCAGTTCTTTGTGCCAATTGGTTCAGGGTCAGGACTTCGCCTGCCATCTTCCATGTTCATTGGCCAGACAAGTGACAAGAGAGCCTCTCCTGACCTTTCAGCAGATGAACAATTGGCATGTCGCTGGAAGAGGGTAAGGTCCAGGATCAGGTGGACACACCATGACCAAAAAACTCATCTAGAAATGTTTATTTGAAATGTCTTTATATCCTACAGTGTCATCTGCTCTTTGACTCCCTACAAGACCTGGTGGACCATGTCAATGACTTCCATGTCAAACCTGAGAAGGACTCTGGGTACTGCTGCCACTGGGAGGGCTGTGCTCGCAAAGGGAGGGGGTTTAATGCTCGGTGAGAAAATATTTTCGATAGCTGCAAGCACAGAGTTCAGGAGATAAATGCTGATTTTTTTAATTTTCTTTTTACCTGCAGGTACAAAATGCTTATTCACATTCGCACTCACACTAATGAGAAGCCCCACCGCTGTCCCACCTGCAACAAGAGCTTCTCTCGCCTGGAGAACCTCAAGATACACAACCGTTCTCACACAGGTCAGTCCTCAACATCCATCAATCCAATATAAATGTATGTGTGTATGTGTGAGGTTTAAATGAATTCTTATCTGGATAATCTTTCCTTACTCAGGTGAAAAGCCCTACATTTGTCCTTACGAGGGCTGCAACAAGCGTTACTCTAACTCCAGCGATCGCTTCAAACATACGCGCACGCACTATGTGGACAAGCCCTACTACTGCAAGATGGTGGGCTGCTTGAAGCGTTACACAGACCCCAGCTCACTGCGCAAGCACATCAAAGCGCACGGCCACTTTGTGGCTCAGGAGCACGGCTCCCCGGGCGGGGTGGGTTCACTGCTGAAGGCAAGTCAGAATGGAGGGCTTTCAAGTGGTGGTGGGAAGGATTCAGAGCTGCCCTACGTAAGCGGAGCCCACATTATCATCCCTGGAGCAACTGCGGCTCTTCTCGGAGGTCATGCCCTGCAGGGGCTTGGGAGTGGCCTACCACTGTCCCCCCTCAGTCCTAGGCCTCTGGACCTCAGCGCACTGGGTAACCCTGGTTCCTCTCCGGGAAGTCTGGGAGGAACATCCATCTTGTCCTTCAATGGCTCTCCTTTGGGGCTGGCCAAGTCTCCTTTGCTCTCTCCAGCATTTCCTTCCTCTGCCCTGGGCCTGCCAATGGTGCCAGTGATGGGGGCCACATCTGAGCGCAGGGCCCAGAGCCACCTGGCAAAGAGAGGCAGAGGGGAGGAAGCAGAGCATGAGGTGTCTGGGGGGGTCCTAAACCTCTCCATGGGAGCATCTCATGATCCCCTGTCCTGGGTGGTCATCCCCCCGGGCACTGTGGTGCTCAAGCCAGCTGTGGTCAACTGATACACACTCCCACTCGTCCACGTGTGCGCACGCACGCACACGTGCTTATACACACATTCCAGAAGAGCTCAGGGGGTTGGGATGGGAGGGTCGGTGCCATAGTGAGGGCAGGGGCAGTCAGAGGGGATACAGAATGGCTTGCACAATCAAATCATGGTAATGCATTGAGGAAAGAGTTTGGAAAAAAGAGAGAAAAATAAGGAAAATGATTGAACAATTAGAAAAACACAAACTACCACAAGATTTCAGTAAAAAAGAATTAACTATACAACGCAAGCCTCTTTTATTTTTATATAAGTAAATTTGGCGCTCAAAAAACTGTTCAGGAACAGGTATCACAGGGCCTAACAGTACATCTGTCCTTATTTTCAGATTTTTTTTCTTCCTTACTTCTGGTTCTGGTTAAGTATTTATATCACTGTATTTTGTCAGTATGCCTCCAGCTTAGCAGTGAGATAAAATTCCATCAATGAAGCACTCACAGTTAGGCAAATGTGCATGTTACCGGAAAATATTTCAGATTTTTAATTTATGACCTATTTTTCACAGGCCACTGAGATTGATATGACTCAGACAAGCTTGCTAAGCCAAAGCAAGTGAACTCAGATTGTCTTGTATTTGTGCAGGCGACAGATCAACTAAACACAGCACTTAATAGTGTCAGCCGGTTATAGTATTGCAAACCTCAAAACTGCTGCTAATCTCTCTGCTCCACCAGTGCAACACAAATTGGGAAAGAGCACTTTTGACAATCTGTCCCCATTGCGGGGAGGGTGACCAACACAGACCAGCCTAGTCAGAATGTGAACCGGGTGTTCAGACAGGGGGCTTTAAAGACGCAGAGTGAACTGATATCTTAACACAGACAAATGGTGTTACAGCACCTGGCAATGACCGATCATCACTTCCTCTTTTTCAAAAGTGAAATTTAAAGCACTTGTGTGTCTGACTCCCCCCTCTGGTAGGACACGAATGACAACATCCCTATGTTCACGTACAGAACTGGCACTGTTTACCTCCTGGATTGTCCAGCTGCTTTCCCGTAATTGAATCAACACGGCCAGTTAGTGAATGAAAGGGCCACTGTGGTGGTAAACACTACTTTCTTTTATTTACGAAACTGAAACAACCCAAAACCAGCCGTGTGAAAAACAGATGGTGGTCCAGCAGAGGGCCAACTTGTACTTGCCATCTTAAGTTTGACCCTTTAAGATGTTGCTGTGCCAAAAGTACCTGGAGATGAGACAGTAGGGTGATCCCATTGTGCCACAGAGGGGGGTGTGATGCACTCAGTGCTGCTTACAGCTGGACTGACTTGGAAGCCACACTGTTACAAACTGCCTCATTTTCCTCTGTCCAAGGGGGCAAAAAAAAAGACAAAAAACAAACCTCCTGGGAAACTTCTCATGGTTCGATTAAGCAGTCTACATGCACTTACTGCAAACTATACACATTTTATGAAATGTTACTTTAGAGTCAAGGTTTTCCGAAAATGGTTTGTTCTTCTGTGTTTCCGAGAGACTTGGTTTTGTCTTGGGTCTTTTCAGGCTTGTGTTTTTCGTGCATGTTGCTGACTGCCATTTCCACATAAGAGAAAGGGAGCAGGAGAGGACTATCACAACACCAGGAACATTCCACAAAGAGACTGACAACTCTCCTCTCTCTTCTCTTCCTATGTCCTTATGTTGGCTATATTCTATTTCCATTACTCCTTCTTAAGGGTTATCCATTCACTCATTGCTGTTTTATATTTTTGTCCTTATTTTTTGGCTGTTGTTCAGACGAGACATTTTCTTGTGATGTTGAAGTTGCTTGTTGTGTTCTGCGATGGCTGCTCTGCAATCAGCTTTCTGCTGTCAAGGAGGAGTTTTAAACTAAGTTGAGCTGAGGAAGAGGGAGAGATCTGAGTGATCTTCATGGGCAGTGGTTACCAACATCAGCTTTTGACACCAAAGGGGTTTAAGTTTTCTTAGATAATTGCTTTTTTTTTGTTTATGCACACTAATGCACTCACCTTTCAGTTAAAAAAGAAAAAAACAGGAAGTACAGACATTTCAGTTGTGTTAGAGAACATGAAATTCAATTAAATAATAATGACAATATTTAATTAAGAAGAAAAACCACAGATTAATGTAATTTGGTAATAATTTGTTCCACATCTTAGTAAACTTAGTTTGAATAGGAAAATGAAATACAATGCTATTACAAAAACATTGAATAAATCATTAGTTGAATTGTCGGTGAAATCACTAGTTTAAAGAATCTCTAGCTGATTTACTGCAAAATGAATGGTTAAAAACGTTTTTTTCTGCTATAACCATTCCCAAACTAGGCCATAAAGGGTGATTATATGTAATGCTGTGATTTTTTTGGCACAAGTCAAAGCAGTTGGAACCACTACCCCGTGGGGTAGATATGATTTATGTGCATGTCTACTGGACAACATGACATCACATTCCTCCCTGAGGAGCAAATTGGAGGGCTAAATCTTGAGACTATATGGACATAAAATGCATATTTTATTGTTAGCATCACAGCAAGAACTATATATTACTATGATATTTTATTGGACTTGAAAACTCATTTTCATGTTATTTTTTTTTTAAAAAGGGCTAGATTAGAAAAAAATCATTTAACTCTGAAATGACAGGCAGAATTGGAATAATGTGAGAGCAAGGAGAAAAGCTTGGTCGAATGAATAAGTGAAGATGGAGAGATGAGGGCAAAGCTGTGTGCCAGAAGAGGAAAAAAGGCAGAGGATAGCTGCGCAGCACCGCTTCCCTCCATCTGGCCATGTACCCAGAAAGCGGCTCTGTAAGCTCTGAAGTCACCGGCTGTGCCGTGCCCAGTGTGGCAGCCACTCATAGGCACACCAGCATGCAGAAAACTAGGCCATTGAACTCTCTCTGCCCTCTTTTTTTTTTGTTCTGGGAAGATTAAAACCAAAAGGCTAAGCTCCTCTACCTCCCTACTACAAAGACAGGGCCACAACAAACTAGACAGAAACGTTACACAGTAAACCAAAACAAATATTTTTTTAAGTTTGAGGCGTCAGGCTGCCCGTAGGTGCATTAAGAGTTACAGCGGAGATTAACCGCGTGCCTGTGTTTCTGCTCCCTCCAGTAACCACATGCAGACACAAGAGTCTCTCGCTGTGAATGGACAAGCCTGATATGTGATGTCATCAGAAACAGGTGTCAAATAAGCCTGAAACTGTCTCCATGGCAACTGTGAAACCCACAGATGCAGAGGCACTCCTCTTCCTCCTCATTTTGTCTGTCTCTCCTCTGCTGGTCGAAGCCAGGGACAGAGACTCGTCATGGCAGCAGAAACCTGAATATGACACAGATCCTGTCAGGGTCCACAAGTTTTCAATCGTAAATAAGCTGTATGATCCATTAGCCCTTTGAGCTCAGCCTGTAATAAACTGCACTTTCCCCCTCCCCAATATTTTTTAGAGTGTGTAGATTTGGGGATGCTGTCACATTCCAGTCTCAGTGTAAAGCTTTTTTCATCTGTTATTTTGGGAAGTGAGTATAATTGTGAAAATAATTGTGAATCACAAAAATGTCTCAATTGAAAGTCTTTTTTTTCACTTACATTATAAAAGTGGTACGTGTTCTTGGAGGTGTTAAAGTAACCCTCAAATTAAATGTCATGAAAAGTGGAATACAGATCCAGGACACAAATTTGAACTAACTAGGTCAGTGTCATAAAGAGAACCTATCTTTGTTTTAAAGTGCCACAGAGTTGCACAAAGGGTTAATGATAAGACTAAGGCCACTCAAGGCCTGTTCCAAGTTGTTTTTTCTTTGCACATTTGTGAGATATTATGTCAGTATTTTAATTTTCCAAGTGCCTTTTTATCATAGGTAAATATAGAAGTTACACACTATGAAAAAATGATTATATGAAAATATATTTTCTTGCCATCATGTTCTGTGGTTGAACATGAATTTTAGAGTTGTAAAAGTCTCCAATTGGTACAACATAGCGGTGTTCTCCTGTTTTAGAGGAATTTTATTACGATATTGATAATAATGTCAATGAAAACAAAAATCTTTAATAAAGTTGCATTTGATACATGTGCTCCCATTTCTGTCTCAAACATTATAATAGATATTTAAAAAAAGATACATACCTGCTACCACACTTTATCTCACACAAACTTACATCCAGCAAGATGCAGGTTTACTCAGTTTCCAGTATTCCACTCACAAACCGTATTTAACAGCTATCTAATAATACGATGATTGAAGTCAAAACAAAGGCCAAAACTCTATTATAAAGAAAAGGTGGATTTTATTGGGTTATAATTTACAGAGAATGGGGGAGGATAGACGGTTTGGAGGAGAGGCATCCTGCTGCCCTTCATGTTTCTGAACTCTGCTGTGACTGCTGTTTATCTTGTGTCTGTATATTTAGCTCTTCATCCAGCCGCTCTTTAGCTCGCACCACCTGGAGACAAATAAAAACAGCAATTACTGAAAGAACAGGGCAGATCCTTTAACCCTCCTGTTATGTTGCGGGTCAAATTGACCCGTTTTAAAGTTTGAAGATCTGGGAAAAATAGTTAAAAATATTTTTTCAGTATGAAACTTCTTCTGCTTGCCTTAAATAGTGTAATCAACATATAATATGAAAATGGTTCATCTCACATATTTGCAACCACCCCCTGCATGATTATATCACATAGATACTGTTCGGGTCAATTTGACCCAGCAGTCAAACTGGAGGTAAAATGGTGTCAGAAATGTCAGACTATTTCTTTCTTTGCAACTGTGAGACATATTTAACCCCAATCTCACTCACACACACACATACACACACACACACACACACCTATACACACACACACACACACACACACACACACACACACAGAGAGGAGGATGTGTCTGAAGATGAAGACTATCTTGAGCTAAATTCTGATTCTAATGATTATGATTTTGAACCTGATGATGGAATTGCTATTCCTATTCCTCCAAACATGGCATTCATGTAAAAAAATGGTGAAATACAGTGGTCTTCATCCCCAAATATGCGTCAGGCAAAACTGTCTGCAGAAAACATCATAAAGACAGTGCCAGTGACTCATGTGACTGACATCAAATCAGCTTTTGAGCTGGTCATGCCAGATTCAATGCAGAAAATCATTTGGGAACTGACTAATCTTGAAGGGAGGCGTGTTTTTGGGGAGAAGTGGAAGGAGCTGGACAAAAGGCGTTTAGATGCGTATTTGGGGTTCCTCGTCCTGGCTGGGGTCTGTAAGTCGAAGGATGAATCGACAGCCAGTCTGTGGGATGCAGAGACAGGCAGGGCTATATTTCGAGCCACAATTTCTATGGAGACTTTTCACATTTTCTCCAGAGTAATCCGATTTGATAATCGAAGGACAAGGGCTGGTAGATGGGAGAGAGACAAGCTGGCAGCTATTGGGACAGTGTGGGACAAGTGGGTAGAGCAACTTCCACTCCTCTATAACCCAGGCCCTAATGTCACAGTGGATGAAAGGCTGGAGGCATTCAGAGGTCGCTGCCCATTTAGGCAATACATGCCTTCCAAACCAGCTAAATCTGGGCAGCATATGAAGCAAACACCAGCTATGCATTGAACATGCAGGTTTACACTGGAAAGCCGGTTGGAGGAGCCCCAGAGAAGAATCAGGGCACAAGGGTCGTGCTTGACATGGCACAGGGTCTCAGGGGACAGAACATAACCTGTGACCATTTTTTTCCCAAACTACAACTTAGGTCAGGAGCTTCTAAAGAGAAAGCTCACAATGGTCGGAACTGTCTGAAAGAACAGATCTGATCTGCCTGCTGAGCTACTGGTAATCAAGGACAGGGCCCCTCAATCTTAAATTAAGTTTCAATGTTGTGTAAAACTATTGTGTTTTATGTGTTGGTCTTTCAAAAGTAATAAAGTGGTGAAACATAAAAAAAAAGTTTGAACATGCAGGTTTTAAAAAAAAAAACCGAATGAATTATCATAATTGGATCATTACCTGTTAGAGGTAAGGAACACCATTGCACTAAATATTGATAGAATAGTTAGTAATGGAGTTAGTAATGAAATATTAAGAATGCTTGTTGGGATTTTTTTGGTTTCAGACATATTTTGGATAATTAAACAGGCACCGGGTCAATTTGACCCGGGAACAGCATTGCTGTTCCTAAAAAATGAACATAACAGGAGGGTTAAAAAAAAAAAAACTAAATTATAGAAGAAGTATAATCAAAGTAAAGGAGAGTGACGGATGAATGAGTGAGAGGTCATAAGGTCATAAGTTTGACAGTAAAGGGAGAATTAACAATTTTATGACGTGTACCAGAGTCATCGAAACGGTCAATATTTGGGCTGATCCTACTGGTGAAAAAGGCTGAGGCTGAATTACAGAACTGTCTCAGCTTTGTACTGAATAACAATGCATTCTTATCAATCTGGAAGCAACCAATTCAAATACTTTGAAAGTATTGAGAACATTTTAGAGAAATACACTTCATAGTTTCATCTTTATCATATTGCGTTACATATGTCACTGGAAAAAGAAGGCAGACAGGCGCAAACTGAAACCCGTCTCTGCTACGGCTTGAATCATATTAATGCCATTACAGCTGATAGAAATTGTGGAATGCAGTATGAAGTGAAGCAGGGAGACTTTCCATGAAATCAATGAAGCAGAATACTTACTTTTGATTGAAGGTAAAACGAACCGCCCACTGCCTTGTCATTGACTTTAAAAAGGTGCTCGTAGTTCTACAGGGAATAAACATTCCATTATCAGACTTCAAGTAAATTATTGTACTGTATTGTAATATTGTACCGTACAGGCTACTTTTTTTAAATACAAAAAAACCCTAAATGACACCACACTTACAATAAATAATTTCATATGAACTAAATCCTGATCCCTGGCTCTCAAATGACTGTCTCAGATGTAATCATTTGATTGGTTAAATGCAAATGACAAAATGGCAGATTTAATAAGGAGAATTTACTTGAACTGTACATATTTTCATGAAATATTTTGCTTTCAGAAGCTTAGACTAAAAAAGTCATAAATAAATCTAGTTCCCGTGTTGTTTGAGACACTAAAAAACACCAATGTCCAGTGAAAACTGCTGAAACGAGTGCTAACTGTCACCACTATGATGTTTAAAGCCTTTTAGGAAAGCCCGAGCAGAGTAATCCTACCTTCTGAACCTCTTCAGGGCTCAGTGTGGACACATTGAGGATCTGCTGAGCCTCCTGCAGGCTCATCCCAGTGATGCTGGACGCTGCAGCTGACTGCTGACCAGTCCGGCCCCTGGCCCGGGCTGCTGCTTGACTTGCTAAGTAGGGGGGGAAAAAGACCTCCATCAGATGCCAATAGTTCATCTAATTGCTGATTATCTTATATAATGAGTTAACAGTCCAAATATTTCAGTCCAGTTTTGAAAAATCAGTAACAAGCACATGTTGTTACTGCTTTTCACATTTTATACATGTTATATATCTCAAAGATACAACTATCCACTAATTAAACAAAATGGAGACAATTTCTTGGCTCGTACCTGCATATTCTTGTTGTAAAGCACGTGCAAATGCTCGCCCGACCACCTGTACTCCCATCACTACGATCTGTGCGAGATATCTAGCCTGAAAGAGATGAAAACAATACCTTATTTGAGGGAGCACCTGGAACACAGCGATAAAGGTCGCTTCTGGTTTCTGTGGCAGGTGACGTAAACCAGATGGTCAAAATAAAACAGATATCAAGACAGCTCGATATATGACAGCAGTGTAAGCATACATTACATGGCTCCACATATACGTCTGCTTTTGGCGTGAAGCACTATTGAATCATTAAGTCCTTAAACCCGGCATTACATTATGTAACGCCTCAGAAAAAACGCAGTGAATAACAAACCCTGATGCTAACACATCCCCTGCTAATGACACTCTTTGTAGCGGTGTCAGTGTAAAAACTGGCGACTAAAGGACTTGGTCTTACCATTTTGTAACGTTAGACAGTGGTCGCGGAAGGTGAGCCGCGTCTGTTTTCACACATGCACACCGAAGGTTAGTGAAGGGTCAAAGTTCAACGAAGCACGAAAAGCAAACGACCAGGATGGAGCTAGTGAATGGCGAAATTTATTACACTGCCCCCTGCCGGCAGGGAGGTGTAAGAGCAGTTCTCTGAGCCCTGTAATGACTGTTAGAACCCAGTGAGGCAGCTGTTACACACTATTTCAACTAAATTAATATTTTGTGGCCTGTGGAACATTACAGATCTACAGATTTGACAAATTACAGTTATTGTTGCTTGTTATTGTTGTTTTTACTCTGTGGGCCCACAAATAATGGAAGAGATGTATAAACTTGATTTACAAAACTAAGCTTAACTCACTTGTACAACAATGTCACTATAATTGAGGATTTATATATATATTTACACACACATAAATATATATATGTATGTGCCAATAAAAAAACTAACAACTATCTGTAAAATCTATCTGTAAAATTCCGATGTAAATTTTTAATGGCTGTAAGATCAAAATCTGTTCATCTGTGTGAATTTTCAAATTAGATTTGGCTGACACTGGTAAACAGGTCTTACAGACATAAAAAGTGATTAGTGATCATCACTAAAAGATCTAAATTATTCATCAATCCCTTTGGAAGACACATTCATTTTTTTCTGTGTCCTTTTAAGTATTCAGGTTCTGCAGTTCAGTGAGTGTGTTCCAAATACATCATTATAATATTTAATTATCTTAGGACTTTAACAAAACAAAAGACAAGCATAACTGAGTTCAATGGGAGTTTATTGCAAGAGAACATTTAAAAGCTCACAAATCATTACAATTGTAAGACAGAGAAAAAACTACAATGCGATAATCAATGTAAGAAAAAGGTTTAATTTTTAATCACAACACAAGGCAAGTTAATCCAATTTCATTGTGTAAATCATAAGTACATACAGTACACATCAAATTGACCCTGATGACACCGTGACACCCGTCATACATGTATTTAACAGGACATGCACAAACTCGCTCTGCTGAAATGGCCGGTTCATCTAAGCCCATCAGAGGGTGTAAACAGGTTCTGTTGGATCGCAGCTGGATTACTGGTGATAGTGCTGTAACCCTGAGTAGAGACTATAAACTGGCTGTTATTGGTTGAAAATCAGGAATACTAAGCTGTTGTTTTATTATCACATGATTGCTTAAAACCGTTAAAGTTAGAGAAGAAAATAAACTAGTTTAGTCAGGAATATCCCTAAAATTCATGTTGGTTCCAAAACACTAACACAGGTTAAATGTCCAGAAAAGAAAAAGGAACAATCATTTTTAATAAAAAAAAGCCCCCTTAAAAAACCTAACAAACCAGGTTTGGCTTTTTGAACTTATAAAAACATTTAAAAAAATCTTTGACCCCTACATATATTCCTAAGTCAGTTCGGTTTAATTGTTACCAATGCAGTATTACATAATCATACTAATATGGCATTTTATTCTCAAATATTCTTAAAAAGTAAAAGTGAGTGAACACAAAGATGATGATGTCAATAGAAATTCCAGCTCATTTTCAAACATGAACACTGGTGACCCTGTTTGATCCTAACTGTGGTTGTTGCTGCTAAAACCTAAACATTTAAATTATTTATTTGTCATTAATTTAACCAGGTAAATAGGTACTCAGGAGGTACCTGGATGTGCAAGGAAACACATTCACTGATGGCACAGTAACTTACAACAGTAACGTCTGACCAAAATGGAAGACCATGTTGTTATTCCTTTTCAAATGAATTTTGTATCATCTGTCATTTTCACAGTTAAAACTGTTACTGTGCATACTCTTAAGACTAGCCAGTATGAAAGAGAGATAGAGAGTTGTCTACACATAACACATGTTGTTCCCAATAGTTTGCAGACCGGTATTCTGATATCTAATCCCAGACAGTCTTCTTTTAGATCAGGATAACCCATCGTGCATTATCAGATTCAGACAAAGACCACACATCACAGAGAACAAGAGCCTGCTGTTAGGCTTACTCATGGTTAAAATTAAGTGGTTGTGCAGCACAAAGCTGAAGTACTGCTGCTGTGGCTGGCCGCAGATGTGTTCACTAAAATGGAATATAATGTAACCTCATTTGTATTTCAGATTTGGCCCATTGTGATATAATATTTCCCAAGCATCATTTGACATTAAAAGGGTGTTGAATGAGGTCATCAATTTTTTTGTGCAATGTTTTTAGTGTGTTCAGTAAGCTGCAATGATTGCTGACAAAGCTCGGACACTTGAATGGCGAAATAACACTTGAGCTCTTCTCTTCTCTGTTGGCACCATGACTGAAGCAAAGGCCAGATGGCAACATGTCTTTTAATCATCCTAAATAAGAGGGAGAGCAAAATAAGCAAATATACAACAAATAATTTCCTGGGGCCCTCTGGCCACTTTCATAGAGATTGCATTCAAATATCTTTAAATTGAAACATTACATATGACAAAAACGTCTGGGATTATATATAAAACATGTTTTTTTGTTCCTAAGAATAGCCAACAGCAATGCATTAAAAAGGAAACAGGAGGAATTTCTAAAACAGTGTGTCTACACCACTCTTATTTTCCCTTTAACACTAATTCAACCTCAGAACCCATTCAGTTTCATCTGCTCACTCACCCATTCATCGTCATCCACACCCTGGAAGGATTCCTGCGGCAGTGGGTCGTCCATGTTCCCCAGCTTGGCCACCATAGCACTCAGCAGCTGAATCACAAAGACATTTAAATATAACAGGAAAAACACACTCCTGCTTTTTTTCAGACGCTAAGGGATCTGCATTTCGGATACAGAACATACAGGATTCCACTGATTTGGGGTTTTTACATCTCTGGTGAGATAAACTGGGGATATTTGCAGCAGGAATACAGAGAGTGTAGAAACACACACTACATCAACATTGTTTCACCTCCTCTTTTTTCTGTTCATCAGTTTTTTCCTCCAAGTAGACAGATGAAGGCAGATATTTCCTTACTGGAGCCTCTTTGGGGGCCTCGCTCACTGTGGAGAAACAAACACAAACACACCCTCATGTAGGACAGAAACATCTCAGGACATGCCCAGAGTGAGTATTTTCATATAGAGTGAGAGCTTTGTTGCATAAGGGCACCTGGCGTCATGTCTTTAGGCTTCAAGCTGATTTTCTTGTGTTGGCCATTGGAGCCGGACAGCCAGGCGGAGGCAGTCAGGGCAGGTTCCCACCACACTGCTGTGTCTGTGTACACATCGTCCTGGAAAAACTCTTTCTGGAAGCACAAATATTACATACAAACAGTTTATCAGAAACGACTGTCAGGAGCAAAAGTAGGCAGAGTTTCCTTTCATCCACAAGGTGGAGTAGTTGTCTCACTTTGACCCGGGGAACTCTAAAGGCCACGGGTTCTATGGTTGTCTTGGTAAGCATCAGCCCCACAGCTATCTCCACATCTCGCACGTTGCACGCTGTTTTAGGCAGGAAAGCCAGTCCCTGCAGAAAGGAGACCAAGTATTCAATAAAACCGAAAGTATTTTTACCTCAGAGCTTTTATTCAAATACTTATACCTCCACTGAATGGACACATATCTGTTCATTAATATTTTTTAAAAAGAAATGGGGAGTAAGCGTCTAACCTTATGAGGCTCGGGGGAATTAAAACTGCTGCATTCAATAAAGTATGGATCTTCAGGGACCAACTCATAAATGTACACTCTGGTATCACCCTGAAGACGAGAAAATTCGCAGATTATTTTCATGTTTGTCACAGCTTAAGCAACAGTAACACTAGAGTTTCCCACATTTTTCCCTTATAAGCTTACTTTTCCTGTAAGAATGACAACGCTGGTGTCAGGGTCGTAGTAAGGGATAAGTGTAGAGGGGGAAACGTTTACAGGTGTGCTGGCTACGGCCCCAGAAGACAAAGAGTCAGCAGAGTACAGGTAGAGTTCTCTCTCGCTGCGACTGGGAGGAGGAGGAGGAGAAACATCAGGGTTATAGATGCTCTGACAAGGGTAAATCAAATTAAATTCCATTAAAGTCAAGAGAGACTGAGAAAAAGGTTGTACAAAACAAGACAGCTTATTCTATCTGAGAAGCAAGCAAAAAATGTATCATATATTTCCCGTACCTGTCAAATCCTGACACCAGCAGGTACTTGCCATCACACACCCACATCACCCGAGCTCCCCTGTGGCCCTCCGGACCTGGACCCTCCTGGAAAAGAATGGAAAGGAATAGCAGGCGTGTGAGAGAGTTAAAGGCACATATTGTGCACAGTTTTCACTGCTGAGCTATGTTTGTTGTCTTATGATACTTGTGTGTGACTCACTGCTTTTAAAAAGCAGCAAAGCACTTATCACACAAAATTCTTTAAACTTCTACACTTTAAGACTTAACCAATCTTTAGATTATCCTCAAAAAAGGGAATGGTCTTGTTTGGGTATGAGTTGAATTAGTTTGTGGAACAATAATGCTAACATTTTTTTTAATGATGCAGTATGAATACATAGTTCCATAACATACTTGCACAGGCGCAGTGGACTTGCGAGGGTCATATATGCGAACTTTCCCATCCTTGCAAACTGTGGCCAGGAGCTTGCCATCTGGGCTCCACGCCATGCCAAACACCTGAACATGAACAGGAACAAGACAGAGCAAAGGGAGATTTGAGAACCGATTTCTCAGTTTTTTCGGTAAAAGTGTTCTTAGTCCTGCCTGGTCTTTATCCACCCACCTGGTCCTGGTGTCCAGTGAGAAGTTTGACCTGTTCTCCACTCTCCAGGCTCCACAGTCTGACGGTCAGATCATAGGATGAAGACACGAGGAGTCCACTGGCCAGAGGGTGGAACTTAATTGAGTAGATCTTTTCTGTGTGGCCTGTAAAGTGTTAAAGTTTTTAATCAGCGCTCTTGAATTTTGCAATCTTACCTAAAAAATGGTGATACGAGAAACGCTCTATAAGCTACTATTTGTCTTGCCCCAATTTTAGGTTACCTTCCAATGCACTGGAGCTTTTGGAAATAGGTCATGCAACAAGAAATATATCCACAGAATGTATTCTAAATTAAACTTGTTGGATCAATGTACAAAGAACAAGTGAGATGGCTACCTTAGTGAAAGCCTTTGTGACTGAAAAAGAACAAATGATACAGCAGATTTCAGCATGGTGTCCATAAAGTTAGCCCTACCTTGCATGACAAGCTCAGGCTCAGTTATGGTGTCTTTCAGTCCGCCCTCTGGCACCTTCCACACTCTAATCTTAGCATCATCACCAGCTAGCATGGACAGACAGGGAAAACAACATGTTAAATATGGTGAAACTGGGCTTAGCAAGACAAAAATCAACTCGAACTGATTTTTTAAACCTACATAAACATCAATTTGGGAAAGGTTAGTGAGTTTGGATGAAGTTGCCAGTATGGATTTACTCACCCACAGCAAGTCTGTGTGTGTCAAAGGGATCCCAAGAAAAGTCAGCCACATTTACAGAGTTCTGGATGGTGGGAAGGGCCGTGTCTGATAGCTTGCCTGGCTGAGAGCGCTGAGAAGAGGAAAAAAACCTAGTGAGTACAGGAAAAGAAAAAAACAGGCTGGCTGCCATTTTACCCATCGACACCTTTTTATTTTCCAACTGTCAGAGTACCTCAAACACGGCAATCTGGCCTCCAGAGATGGCCAAGGGCACCGCTATCCGTTGGTGGTTGACGCAGAAGCCGTCACATTCTCCAGGAGTGGTCAGGTTGAGTCCACGGATATTTGTGATGTGCGTGTCGCGGTGCATCACCGCACCCTGGACATGGCGGAACTTGGAGGTTGGGCCTGGAAAAAAGGAAAACTTTGAATTCACTACTGACTCGAAAAGGACAGATTTGTATCAACCGTCCCCAAAAAGAAGTTTTAGACATTGCAGACGCGTGGCACTTTACCCAGCATGCTTTGGATTGCCTTGGTGCTCTGACTGGGGCTGGGACTGGGAACAAAACCTGAGGAGAGGCCAGAAGTGGAGGAGGGAGAGCGGGATGGGGCAGCACTGCTGCTGGGGGTGCTGAGTGGGCTGCTGGAGGTGGAGAAACCTTGAACCTGGTCCTGTAAAATCAGAAGAGTGGTTGTGGTTTAAAGACCACAACATCAAAATTAGAATGAAAGTGCTTTAAGAAAATGGAAGGCCATGCAATAAAAAGGTGTTGCCCACCTCTTTGCTCCCTCCGGTCAGCTCCTTCTTAGCAGGTATCTGTTTTGCAGGTTTAGGCTGTTTGTCTGGGTGGAGGCTGACTCTCTCCACCTGCATACAAACAGAGCAACAGGTTTGGGTCATACATACAGTGCAGTGAATAGAAATGCAAAGAGCGACCTGTGGGATTTGTCACCTGCTTGTTTCCTCCCTGCCACCACTCCTCAGCACACATGGCCGGAGTTGTCCCCACCGTGTCCGGGTAAAGGTCCTCATGAAACTCCTGGCCTGAATTCTGGAGAACAGAGCCTGAAACATTAGCGGCCTGAGCAAACGCCATGTTGCATGCTTCTGCCCGTCTGGCGTACCTTGCGAGGGACTTGGTAGCTGACCGGCACAATGCAGCTGTCGGTCAGCTGAAGGACACGCATCACCTCACAGGACATGACATCCAGTGACAGCTTAGGTACCATGGCAACTCCTCGTGTTGAGGAATCCGTCAGACAGTGGCTCACTAAAAATACAAAATACAAAGGCAGGATTAGAGAAAGTTTATAGATATTATAAGGGAGGTTATTTAGCAACGTTTAGGTAGTTGTCAATCAACCCTAAATTTACCTTGAGAGAGGAAAGGCTCAGAGCAACAGACTTCATAGCAGTCAATCACTGTGTCACCCTACACAAACCACATCACAGAATCAGTCATTGTTTCAAGACCATTGTTCCTTTCAAAAACTGCTGCTGACAAAGAAGTGAAACATGCACATGATATATTCAATATACAGTATATAATATATTTATCAGTCTTTTAACCCACAGAAAAAATAGGAGGATATTAATCTAGAGCTTACCATGCCAGCAAGAACAAGCAGACCAGTGTCTTCATCAAACAGAGGGATCAGCATCCTAAAGGTAAGTAAGCAGGAGATGGAGAGTGAAAATGACAGATTTAAAAAGGAGCACATGGTTTAAGTTTCAACAAAGAGCCACTAGATGGGGGAGTAGGGTCAATTTTAGTGCCAACAGATCCGCCAGGTGTGTGTTCAGATTTTTATAGTAGTTTCAGTTAAACCAAATATTAGACTTGCTTAGTCCATTTCAAACCATAAAATATACTATCAAAGCTTAAATAAAAAACAGACCATTCAAATCGCAGCAGGTCACCAAGGACAAGAACTGCAAACCAATCACTCATTTTATATCAGTCTAATGGCCTGATAATTGATTTGATTCATTTACATTCTAATCTGTTAATGATGTATCTTCAAAGTCTATGATAGCATGATTAGTGCAAAGCAGAAAAATGTCCCACTCCTCATGCAAACCAGATTAAAGTGTCAGCATTTCAAAATGAGAGGACACAGTTGGTTATTTTTGTTTAACCTAAGTCTGTGAATTCTCTCCCAGTTAAAAAATACTTGCAGCTCTACATCAAACTTTACTCTTGTAGGTCTTATTGTGCCCACAGTCACCAGTCCCCTCTTGTGACTTGAATTAAGGGGCTTGAGGACTGTGAGGCTCAGTGGCTTAATCGACATAGTACAACTGACCACAGTAATCAAAGCAAACAGGAACTACTTGCACAAACATAAGCAATGCTGGCAAATCCCTTGTTCTAAAATCTTTCCTTTCTCCCCCTCAACAACACAAGCGACACTGAGCTTCATGCATGATTCGCCAGGGTTTGTCCCCGACAGGACCATTGGATGTGGGGTGCGGGCTGATCTAACTGGTCCACATTACAGGCCAGATGTAGGCCGACTGAAGTGGTGAGAGGCACTTCCAATGATTGGCTTATGATGATGACCTTCAATGGTGGCACTGTTTTAAGGGAACGCCACTCAAGACTCACAGACTGGTGATGCAATGCTCCAAAAATGACAGTATAATGACAGGGTGAGTTTGGGAATGTTAGGCAACAACACGTAGTGCCACGCAAGGGTTTACTGTCTGTGCATGTGTCATAGCTGTAAAGAGTCAGAGCGTGTGACTGGATGTCAACAAGAATAACAATACGTCTGTTTTTGCAACAGCTTCAACTGGAGTTTCAGTCAACTGTGACAATGAACTTGTTTTTTTTTTTTTTCTTCTGTCATATTTTTCTGGTTAATTTGGCTGTTAAGTCGTCACTCGTCACCCGTGAAGCATCAATAGCTGACAGGAGGGGACTTGTTTGACATGATGAATATTGACCTGCAGAAAAGTCTGAGTTCAGCATAGTATGCAGAAAAAAAAATCTAAGCAATTAGCTCAGTACTCAGATCAGTTTATTCACTAATTCTCTCATTTATTTCTATCAAATTAGATTACAACCCAGTAATTTTAGACATTGTCAATGGCCCTACAGGCATGGATGCTTTCTACCGTACTTTTGTACGATGTTTTTTGTTTTATTACCATGGTGTTACAGTTTGGACATGAAGGAGCGTTATGCTACCGGTTGCAGCACTCTGTTATTTGAGTACCTGTTCATAGACTTTTTCAAATTAAGCCAAATAATGGTGAATGTGGCTAGGACTGTGAATTATTCGTCATAGCTTTTCTCCATCAGGTGTTTAAGATAACTCCAATTACCTTAAGAAAAACTTTCACCTACTCCACCTGTTCTCCATCTCTGGATAGTTTTATTGGTTTTAGATGAATCGAAAAGCCTGCACGAAGCAGGCGCCGGCCTCTTTTCAACATCTCTTTCTCTTTCACAGATCTGTGAAGTCAGCAAGGGGTTGTCATGCTTCGTTAGGTCCACTCAGTATTCCCATGTTCAAGTAGGTCCACAGGGAGTCCCTAAACACCTCCATTCCCACAACCCTTCCTGTCAGTCACTCTATCCTTCTCTCAAAAACAACAACACTACCTTGCCTGTGACCTGAGCTCCCTCTGTGCCTCCATTTCAAATTATTTAGCCTAATTTCCCTGTCTTTGGCTGAGGTCTTATCTGTGTAGCTTTATCACCAATAGAGGCCTCTGTATACTGTCGTTTTCATGCTCCATCTCACTCCCAGCCCATTTCCCCACACATAAACACACATATGCATGCATGTGCATACTTTTACACATAGATGTGCAGGCACATTTTCCGACAAGTTGCTAGTAATGCTGTTTAATGACTCATGGGCACTTGCATTATTGTGGGAGAGGGCTTGTAATGGATCACATGGGCTGAGCATGAGTGAAAAGAAAAACTGTTACAGACCTCATTCAGGAGAGACTGATGCTAATCCACAGACTTAATCCAGACATTTTCTGTGTGTGCTGTGCAGATAGGACACGATTGACCACGCACACATTCTACAATTAGGAACAAAGTCAACTACGTACAAAGAAACATTTTGGAAGCGCAAGAAGGAATGAGATTTATTTTCTAAATACATTTATTTTTTAAATGAATCATGACTAAGCCAACTCATAAAAAGAGGCTAATCTTAATCTTTCCCTCTCAGGTCTTTCTGCACCCACTAATGTCTTGACACCTTTTCAAACTCCTCCAACACTCTGCAATGAGGTGCCTGATGCACAAGAAATCCCCCTGGCTTCAGTCTGTCACTGGCCCTCTGCGCATATCAGAGCTTACACAGAACATAAAGCGGCGAGAGCACGCCTCCTGTCTCGTCTGCCATCGCCTCTCACCGCCCTTTCACACACTCCCGTGTGAACATCATAAAATGACCTTCTGCTCATGACAGCGGCCTTCAGCACCAGCAGATATGATGAGTATATTACTCCAGTGTGCATCTGTGTTGGTGTATGCGTATGGCTCTAAACCAATCCAGGTACATTATGATAATGAGAATGTGTTGTCATCTGATGATAGATTAGATAGCCGAAGTTATCACATAACTGACTAATGAAGGGCCAGAAAAATGAACAAGCGGATGACAGACAAGAGTAGCAATTGTGTGTATGTGTGTCTAAAATGCACCTGGAGTTAGAAAGAAAGCTCAGAATAGATTAAGTTTAATGGACTGTTTAGCAATAAGGATGGACCTGACAATTAAACGATCTACAGAGGGATCCTTTTGCTAAGAATAGCTCAGCAAGCATAAGATGTTATTCTTTTTCAATGATTTAATGTTGAAGACAGCAAATCTAATTTTAAGTTAACTGGGATAACCTTCTACCATAATTTACTGTTCAGTTTCAAAAGAATAATATGGGTACTGTGATGGAGCTAAGTGCACTAAGTTTCATGCCAAGAATTACAGCTTGTAAATGCTTTCTGTAGCAGCTCTGATTTTTCCTGCAAAATACTTTTTTTTTCTTAGTCATGACTTATTTAATAAATACATTTAACATTTTTCTAACTTTCCTTTGTATATATTCCTTGGTTGAGCATCTCAGCACCACCCAGACTGTTAAATATTCCTTTTTCAATCAAATAAATGTTTTGATGTGCCTAATCCAACTAACACTTTTTCTTGGTCCAGAGCCCACATTTAACTTCACTCTTCCAAGAAGACTGGAAGATGCCTGTCCTCTTAGAGTTCCTACGTTTTAAAACTTGTCTTAAGTCATCAGACAATGTCACAGAGGGGTCACAGAGATACTCACTCAGAAATAACATATAAACCAATATGATATATCAAAATGGGATGAAAAGAAAAACATTTGTGTTTTATCAATTCATCTTTAATAATTAATCAATCTCCACTCATATAATATATTTTTAGTATCAGCACTTTAAAAAAAACTTTTAAATGACACTGTGTACGCATTCTTAAAAAGGCCAGCAGAAACACAATTGGGGCAAACAAACACACATATTGCTTTATAAGAAAATGCTCTGCATTCTCAGTTTACACTTGGAAATGCACACAATCAACACATACTACACTTGTAGGAGTCTGTATAGGCACATCGAGTTACACAGATAGCATCGGCCATGCACACTTGTATAATATACAATAAATGGAGCTAATGGAAACAACCTGTAGAGAAATAAGGTTACGGCTATGACCAGATCATTATCAGTCAAAGGGACCTTTCTCTGTCATGTGAGATCATGACCCCAAGCTAGGGCAGGCTTGCTATTGAAAACATATACAAGCCACTACTATAAGCTCCAGATGACGGGGTGTGTGAGCTTAAAAGTATAAAAAATAAGGAGGATATATACTACGAGCAATATGGAACCTTTAAATTACATGCTTTTTTACGATTATAATTAGAATGTTGTGGGTTTCATTGTGTAGCTATTTCAGAGACCTCTGAGAAAATGTGATTTATTTTGGGCTGTTATAAACTAATCTGATTCGAAGCACAGTATAATTGAGCACAGCAAACATTGCTCAATAATCATTTAGCTATAATTACAAATATTCTGTCTTAATTACATGTTACACGTTAATTACATGTTTTTAATTAACTGCCTGCAATACTTTTATATATCAGCAGGTGCTATAAATATTCTTATTATAACCTTGCTGTTTCCTGTCATCACTGTTTTCTGTGAGAGAACACATTCTTTCTTTTTTAGTGTTGTTACTCCTGTGTAAAAGGATTGCACACAGCTAATGGTTTTATACAAAATGACGCTACAGGCCTGAGGTTGTTAACACACCCTTAACAATGGAAGGACTGGAGCGGAGTAATCCACAAATATTAAATAGGATTCCAGGCAAAACAACAGAGAACTGTTTCCCTGTACCCAGTATGTTCAATTAGAGGGTCAGTTTTTGTTTCCTTAGTGTACTGTATGCATGTAAAGTACAAAAAAGATGTTTCTTACATGGAAACAATCAAACAAATAATATCTGGTTCAGTGTACTTAACATTTCTCCACTAATCCCACCAACAAACAAAATCTAAATTTGCCGGCCTTAAAAATGACCTGTAAGACAGGAATAAAATGTCAAGCATTAACATTTATGTTCACTATCTGGATAGGATATGGTTATCTCACAGTGTAAGATATAGCTGTATTTGGGGTGGCACCAATCGCAGGTTCTAAGGCGATCATCTGGAAAAC